ATAATTTCAGCGAGAAGAGCACAAAGCAACCCCTTTTGGAGGATGGATTTGACACCATCCCCCTGATCACACCCCTGGATGTCAATCAGCTCCAGTTCCCGCCTCCTGATAAGGTACAGTAGGCATTAGTTTCCACCCTGGAGAATCACACCCAAATCTGTGGCGAGCAACAAAAGAATAGGTTACGTGGTGTAAGGAGCAGCTTAGAAATGTCAGGGAATATGGGGTGTTTTAAGGCATGCTAGTTCTCTCTGGGGGAAAGGATTAACGGTTAAGCTAATGAAAATCCAGTAGTAGCGATTTGCATTAAGAAATAGTGGGAAATATTAGCAAGAAGCATCTACAGATTTCAGTGCTGCTGTATAAAATGTCTAAACATAAAAATGCAAGCTTCTCTATGCTGTATTGTCATAGCCCTTTCTAGTCTGTATTTTTTGTGTGTCTGTAAGGTACTGTGTATTCTCTGTGAATGATATGAATTTTCTGTCCAGAAAATGCCCCCCCTAATGGGGGGGGGGGAATAAAGCACCACTTTATTTCTCTGCGAGATGTGCACGGGCAGACTTGCCACAGGGAGAAAGAACTTCCACGATCCCTCCGTGCTTCAGTAGGAAATTAATACTAGAGCCTGACAAGCTGAAATAATGAGATGAGAACAGGCCATTGAATTTTCTCCTTGGTGACTGATTTGGTTCAAAACCCTCCAGATAAGTGACTTAGATGCTACATAGCTGGAAGGGGACAGTCCAAGGTGCTGCTTACAGGTTGGAAGGCAAGTGTGCATCCTGTATACCTCATTATGTGGCTTGATTACTGAGGATTTAGGAAGGTGATGTGATAGCATGTAAGTACATTTATTCTCACAATAAGAATTCAGCAAGTGTTACTACAGGCAAGGCATACAGTAGTAGGATAAATTTTCAAATATTCCAGTATTCTATTTTTCAGTATCCTGTTTTAGTAGGATACTTACTTGAACATTTCTCACTTATGCATCTGGCAAAATAAATGCTTCGTAGTCTTTGAAAAATTGAAAATTTAACTGGGAAAGTATAATACCTTTATACTGATTTTTATTTTTGGCATTGTGTCTTCCACGAACTCAGTTCTATTTCTACATAAACTGATAGCTATACCTTCCTCATAGCTCAGAAAAAATCACATAATCTTATATTGGAGTAAAGGATTTTTCCTTATGAAATTTGTCTCAGGAGAGCATTGCATGTAGATAATACAGATAAATTTGTGACCTCCATTTTAATTGCTATCAACACCATTCTGTGTCGTGTGTGGTGACCAGTTGGCAGGCATAAATGCAATAAGCCGTAACAGCTGTTAGAGAGCCTGAGGGTCCATTTTCTGCCCTTGGTTACATGGGTGTAAATCTTGTAACTGAGGACAAAATTGCACCCTAAGGCTTTAAAACAAGTTAAGCCTTACTGTGTCTGATACGCCTGCCAACTGGTGACTGGATATAACTGATTACCAAGGACCAGTGTCCAAAGGAATTTGTTACGTTACTGCACTGCTAAGCAGGAGTCTGAACTGGGGATCTGTATGGTAATAGGTTTAACCTGAGCAGAGCCTCTTTAGTGAGCCCAGGAGGTTCTCTGCCAGCCTGATTGCTCTTACTAAAATGTGGCAGAACTCCTCCCTCCTTCACGCCATTTGTCTGGAATGAAAGGAAATTTACAGCTAGGTTAGAAGCTTAAATAAGGGAATAGCTGGTTGGCTCTTCTACTCTTTCCACTGTCTATCTGTCTGTTAGCTTTCCTTCCTTTCACAAACATACAGGGAAAACAATAAACCCATTATATTTATTTGCCCTACTGGCTGCAGCTGTTTAGCGAGGTCAGTGTGACTTTACTGGTTGCTACAGACCCAAAGGCAGTAGTACAGCAGCTGATGTGAGGAAAAAAAAGAAACATTATTAAGTCAAGATTAACACACCGATCAAATTCTGAAGTACAAAGCTATTAATGTATAATGAATAGGAGTACATCATATATCTATGCTTATTTTTCACCTACAAGAAGGCTCCAGTATGGCAGTGAAGCATAACTTCTTGAACAGCAGTGACTACAGCGCTAAGAATTTCATGATTTTGACAGCTTCTAAATTAAAAGGATGAACTGATCCAGATGCATACTTAGGTATATTAAACAAAAGAAGACATTACATAACCACATAGATAGAACTTTATGTTCGGTGTCAGCTGAGGGTGACTTGAGTTGCCTTAGGTTATGCAACATAAAGGGGGGAGTAAAATGTTAAAAAGCATGCCAGAAATCTACAGTTTCCTTCCATGATGCTGTTTGGCAGTTGTAAAATTAAATGGTAATTATTATCTTATTAATTAGAGCTGAAAATAGGTAAAGTAGTTCTAAACCTTTGTCCAGCACATATATGTGTAATGCTATGTGTCTGGTAAGCTGTGTGGTACTGAGTCCAGGTACAGTTATACATTCTAGTTGCCATTTCAGGTAACCCAAAGCTTTAATTTCACTGCCTGCTGTCTGTAAGTGTCACAGTCTTAACTTCAGAATAATGTAGTTGCTATTGAGACCATGGGTAATGCTGTAGATAGAATCTGATTCTGAAAATCTAAGAGTGCATATTTTTAACTTGAAACAACAGAGAAAACTGAGCAGATCTTACTAGCACTGTTAGTACAATATGTTGCACACTGTCTTGGGAGTGGTACTTTGAAAAAGATCCTGAAAAACTGCAGAAGGCAAAAATGAGGCAAATAGGTTAGGTATGTGAGAATTTTGTTCAATTAGAATGCCTGGGAGAGCACTAGAGCTGTGAGTGACGTAATGAGTATTTTAGGAATACAGGTAAGGTGCTAAATGGTGTAGCTCAAGGCAGTAGCTCATAGCAAGGAATAAACTGAAGTTGAAGAGCCTTGGATTATTTAGGAAATCTCATTAACACAAGGGTTTGTGGGCATCTTGCTGCTTACAGCTGGCAATTCCAAAGTTAGATGTTAAAAATAAGAGTGCCAAGACCTATAGTCTAGTACATAGTGAATAGCAACTAGTGCTTTCAAAGAGCATGACTCTTGGTGGCATCATCTGCTAGATTTCTATGGGCACTCCTCAATAACTGTCTTGTCCTATTAGTCTCCAGTTTGAAATTCCATTAATAGGATCTCCTGAAGCAAATGGAGGTGGCTGTTTTCAAACTATGTAAAGTGGGAAGTTTCATGATTTGGATTTAAAGTAAGTAGATGCTTGCCTAGTGTAGCAGCACAGTACCACTACAGCTGAGAGAACTGAATGTTTGTGCAACTGTAGCATAACAAGTCTTCTGTAGGTTCATCAGAACCACTTTGATGGATAATTGGGGAAAAAAAACTAACAACCTTTGGCTGCCAAATACAAGTAGGGGAAAAAAAGTACTGTGCTAGATGTACTTATAAGCAGGTAAAAGAAGAGTTAATGAATAAGATTTGTATGGCCAGTTCAAGGTAAGGTGGGATGGAGCTTTGAGCAACCTGGTCTACTGGGAGGTGTACCTGCCCATGTCAGGGGGGTTGGAACTAGATTATCTTAAGGTCCTTTCAGGCCAAACCATTCTATGATTCTGTGTTTCAGGTGACGGCTTTTTGATTTGTTTCATATTTTTTTTAAAGGTTGTGGTCAAAACAAAAACAGAATATGAACCTGATCGCAAGAAGGGCAAGTTCCGTACTCCTAAAATAGCTGAATTCACAATCAGCATCACTGAAGGGGTTTCAGAAAGATTTAAGGTAAGTAATGCTATATGAAGATGTTAATGACTTGGTTGTGTTCCGAGAAGTGCTTAAAATCAATTGCTGATTGTGTCAAAAGTGTATAGAATTGACAGAGTGGCTGTTGTGGGTATAGTAGAACATGAGGAAGATAAATGCTATAATAGATCAGTATTTAGCTGTTAGAAGCAGAGCAAATCTTGCAGCATTATTGTTGCAATCCCTCACAGGCAGATTAATTCAGAAGGCACTTGTGTCAGTGTGTCGGTTTTGGAGCATGGCTGGCCAGGGTGTATGTGGACTGCATGCAGGTAGCTGTATGGAATGGATAAAGCTCCTGTTAGTATTGAAGGACAAGAACCACAAGAGTATTTGTTTTCCTTTTGGCTTCCTATTTTTCACTGTGGCCAAACCGTTCTCTTAAAAGTGCTGTCACAGTTCATTATGTGTATTTTTATAGTTAAATGTATGACTTGGCGGCTCAAGAGTGTATACCAGAGTTCTTTGCTATCAGTTTTCTTGGTCCAGTTGTATCTCACAGCTTGGTGATGACTGTTACTGGCAGACAGCAGTTCAGCAAGAATCTGACTCAGATTTACTCTTTAGTGTCCACACCCCTATTACTCCCTTTAGTACTAGTACAGGAAAGCCGAGAGGTTAACTGGTGCAAGGATTGAGTTACCATTTCCTCTTCTCATTGTAGGATAGCTTTTCTTGCAAAGCAGGGAAGTTGGCACTTCAGCTCATGCTTTCCTACTTACTGTCTTAACAAAGGAAGACCACAGCTTTTCAGGGCTGTTAATTTGGAATATTACCCAGGGGTGCCAAAGCATTTTTAAATGGTAAGCAATGACACTGGTCAGTGCATGGGTACAAATACATTGGGAAAACCTAAGATTTACTGTGAGAGAAAAATAAAGATTCAGTAAGGATGTGGATTTTCTTTATATTGCACACTTCTAACTTCAGTTTGCAGGATAGGAGTTGCAGTGCCTACCCAGAGACTGTAGTTCTGTTGTGCCTGACCTGTGGTTCTAAAAGCTGCCCAGGCCCAAGCCTACCTTCAAAAGCAGCTCTGTGGATCATGCTGAATGAAGAAAGTCAAGGTTCAAGGAAGGGTTAGACACTTCAGGCTGTGTTTGCAAAGGAACTTTGCAGAGTGTTGCCAGGACAAATGTTTTTCAGTGCAGGTCACCTGGTGGAGTCTTCAGGCACACAGTGAAGTCTGTAGATTCCCAGTAAGCTGTGTGGGGAACCATGCCAGATAGCTAATAAGAGATATGGGGTGTGGCAGAAATATACTAAGAAACCTAGTTCCAGTTTTTCTGTTCCCTGGTGTGGAGCAAGGACATCCTATCCCTCAGGGAAAATGCTACATTCTGACTGACACTCTCCTCCTTGGCACCAGTCCTTGAGAATAATCCCCTTCCTCTCAGGTGAGGGTTGTGCACACTGTATTGTTGGGTAAGATGCAGATGAACATCTGAGAACAAAGAGAACTTATGCCTCCTGTCTTTTTGTGTGTGTCCTGGTCACACTGTGGTGATCTGAAAATGCTTACTACATTGTGGAAAAAAAAAAAAAAAGGAAGAGTATTTAGTTTGAGTATGCTGCTAAGACTTCAGTTCCAAGCAGCTGAGCAGAATCTATACCTGAGGAATTCTGCATTTATCTACTAGCTGTAGCAACTAAGGGATTTCGTTGTTACATTACACTGTAGGTAAGGAAGGGTTCTGAACATCTTGATTTCATCTAAATTTTTTGCACATCCCTTTATAATCTGGGCTTTTTCTGTTTTTGTTGGGAGAGCTGAGCAAATGAGACCTTACTGAACAATAAATAGCTTTGGATAGGCTGTTGGATAGTCTTTCCTAATTTGAATAGCTGAACAGTTAGAAGCCTGAGCATTTTTGTGTTGCGTTTTGATATACCTTTGGATGGCATACTTAAATAAAATAGGTTTTAGATACTCTTTTATGATGATCGCTCTGGGATTAATCTCATACTACAGTGTTGCTAGGTTTTGCTGCTAGGTAACTACTGCATCAGAGAGAGGTTTCAGTAAGATTTGGTATCTGTTGGGAATTGCAGGGTGATTCACACTGTGGCTGTAAGTCTGGGCTGCTAAAGAAGAGTGTGGGGGTTGATCATTTAGGAAAACTGGTTCAGTTAATTGAAAACAATAGTTTCATGCAGAACATCCAGGTCCTAAAAACGTCCCTTAATCTCTATGTAACAGTTTTAGAATTGAATTACACTGCTTGCAACATTTTCAAGAGAACTGACTGCTTCTCCAGCAGGGATGATTGTTGTATTCACCACTCCCAGTAGTAAATATTACATGAATAATTGATGAAATTTCATAAATATGTAGATGAAAAGTACTGATTGTGTGAGGTTTTCTCTCGGGTCCTTATTAATTGTGAACCATCATGTTAACTACTGCTGTTGATTCTGAGAGAGCAAAAGGATATTTGTTTGAAAATTAAATATTTGCTATAATTATGAGATGCATTATTTAACTGATGGGATATTGACTTTGGCTTGGGTTCATGAAAAAAGCTTCAGATGCTGTTTCAGTGACTTGAATATTGTACATCACCAATGCCTAAGCTTGCCACAAGACCCAGCCGGAATGTTGTGCTAAAAATAATAGTCAGTCCTATTTACAATTAATTCACATATGTGTTCTAAGATGTGTACTTCTTAAATAAGGACAAAGCAGATTGCATTTTTGGGATTCAGCAGTGCAGATCATCTAAAGCTGTTCTTGAGAAATGACACATTCTAACAAAGGAAGCAACTCCAGCATGTGCATATGTCATGTAGATCATTTAGTGATTCAGCAGCTGGGTGAATAAGAAATTACAAAACTTATTTTCTGCATTCTCCACATTACCACAGTTATTACAACAGAGCTGAGAATGTTTACAAAGACAACTGCAAGTATAATTTTCCTGTTTGAAGCCACATTCTGAATTCCAATCAGAATCTGTCAGAAGAATACGAAGACTTCCTGATTCTGAAAACCCTGTTGTCTTCATTTAGTTTTATGGCACTAACCACACCAAGGAAGAGCTGTTTTTTTTTCACTGGAGGTTATTTTTCATTGAGAAAGAGAAGTCTTGCTTGTATTCTTTGAACAGTATAGACTAATGCGGGGAGTTGGTCCTTCACATCTGCAGAGCAACTTTGAACGAGGCAGGTTTTTCTCTCCTGTATATTGTCCACTGTACAGAATAACACAACAAGACTGGAAATGTCATTTCAAAGGAGCCTTATGTATCAGGACATAGGAGAAAGTTATTGCAGGCAAAAATTAATGGTATCAGTTACGCAAGGCCAAACCTTTGCCCTGCCATTGTCAAAGCAGCATTTTTACAAACTCCAGTTGGATTTTGCAGTGGGATGTCTGTTTTGGCACCCACTGAATTGGGCTGCAATTGACAGTTGTGCACAAACACACCAATTTAAAAAATGTTTGTTGTATCAAAGCAGGAGATTTTTTTTCTGTCTTTGGAGGAAACCTGAATAAGGAACACACAGAGGTATTTTGAAAGCACATACTTATGTTTCCCAATAGATTTTAACTCCTTAAATAAATCCAAGCTGTGGTATGTCTTCAGCCATTTGGTTCTATTCAAAGGCAATTCAGTTTTTCAGATTTTATCCTTGACATCTCTAAATACATCTAACTGCAGAGCCAAAGCCTTAAGCTTATTTCTGTGGTAAGACCATATGGTGCAAGCCATGTATTGTCAAGTAGCAAGCAGTTGTTGAAATGCCTGTATGAGGTTATGGAAGAGGCATCAAGACTTCCTTTTTAAATCAGTTCTTGAAGTTTTACCTGCTTTTTTTAAGACTGGAAAAATGTATGTAATGTATATTTAAATACTTCATTTTTGACCTGTCTTAAAAGTGGCATGCTTTAAAAAATATTTCTGACTTTTTAACCTGTTCTTAATAATACCAATATAACTAATAACTTATTGCTGCAAAAAGAATCTCTTTGTTTCTGTGTGATACTCTGTGTGTTGAATAGCTCTTTGTTCCTACTGAAAAAGTCTGTTAGGTGCAGGAGATGTCAGCTGATTTCTGTGCAGGATATCACATCCTTAAGTGCTGGAAGAGTGACAGGGACTTACTGCCATGAGTAGTTCTGTATTCTTCAGTAGCACAACTCAGAGGATTAAGGTTACTCACAAGCATAAGCGTTTGGCAGGGTTTGAATCTTTCTGTTATTACTTCAAGCAAGAAAAATAAAGGAGATTCTTCTTTCAATCTAACTGCTGTTTTAAATCAGTTGATGTAAGTAAAGGCTCTGCGTGGCAACTGTGGTTTTTCCATTTGTTTACCTGTTAGACAAGTCTCTGATGTGACATTGACAATCCTCACACTAAATTTTTGGCTGAAAGGAATTTTTGTTACAGTCAGAGCCAGAAGATTTAAGTTAAGTGGATGCCTAACAGCAGCTCTCCTGCTCCAAGTCAGGTGTCCTCTGCTACTGTATCCATTAGAAATCCTTTTCTTGGAGCAGAACCAGTGATGCTGGTGACAAAGATGATGTTTTGGGCCTCTCCATATGTAACACCTCTATAGCCTTTCCTCTCCTGAAGTAACCTTTTCCAGCCTTTCTGCTGGCCTCAGTAATATCCTCTTTGTTTGGGAAGGTATCAAAGTTCTTACTTCAGGGCCACAGAGTTTCTTGAACTGCTTCTTCAGATCTCTGTAGTTAAGAAACTAATATATGGTGCCATGTGATAAGAAATGAAGGAAATATTTGATGTTGAGCCACAGTGCTGGACCCTCAAGGCCACTGTCTTGTTACCTGTTTGTGTTAACCCATGGTGTCAGATCTGAAGGCCACTGCCTTGTTAACCTATTTTTGTCTAACAGTATCTCCCTTGGGTTTCATTAGTCGGCTCCCCTGCAGGCTTATTCTGTTGTCTTGTACTGTCACTGTTAATAAGCACTGGGTCTGTAGTTTCATTGCTGTTACTTTCCTTCACATATCTATCTGCCTTTCTTGCTGCTCCTCCCGGTCATCTCCAGGTGAGCATCCCAGCCAGCTCCCTCTTCATCTTTGTCTTTTGTGTTTGAGAAGGACAATCTTTTAATTTCTTCTACTTTTTCTGTACACTTTACCCCAGAACTGTCATCCTCTTTGACCACAAAAGTTTGACATGAGTGTTCTGGTGAAGAAAGTTGAGTTTAATAGGTAGATACCAGTCACATAGCTAAACATGACATCATGTTAGAAATACTCTTCTGAAATGAGGCACCTGGTTGTCTTTTGAGCCACCAGTCATCTTGTATATGTATATATGCTCCTGAGACAAACAAGTATGGGAAGTTGTATAATTTAGGTTCCTCCATAAATAAATGAGTCAAATGTTGCATGCATAGATATGAATGTTCCTTCTTTTTTTTTATTTCATGTTGCCATTTACTTCAAGTTGAGCAATTCTTAATGCTTAAGTGCATTGTTTCAGACACGTTTTTCATGTAGCCTACTAGGGACAGGTAATAACAAACAATATCATTTGGAAAAGCAGGAATATTAGGAGTGAAGAGCTGTTTTCAGTGCTCTCCAACGTTCTGGTAGAGGGCATTATGCAGCTGGAGATGCAGGATTTCAGTGGAGAGAGGTGAAATGGAGGTCACGGCCATTTGCAGGGAAGTCAGTGTGGTGTTTTACGGATTTCAGTCTGTGGGCTGTAGCCAGACACAATCTATTGTAATTACAGTCTGCCTGCCCAAAATTCTCCTGTAATTTAAATTGGATGGCAATAATCTTAATTTCCTGGCCTAAATGGTTGTACAGAGTTGCTGTATTTCATCCCAGTGGGCTTTGCATTTCACTGGTGAGCAGAGCATAAATTGGTTGTAAATCACTTTGTATGAAAGGTGCTCCATAAATTTATGTCTTCACCCTTTTTGTTTAGTGCTAGCACCAAGTCTGTGCCTAGTACTTTACAGGCAAATCGGAAATGAAAGTTGTGGTCCCAAGAGGCTGCAATTGAAATAGATAATACATAAACGCGGAGTAACATGAGATGTGACCAAGTGCCAGTGATTGAGCAGTGAAAATTACTACATGTCTTGTTAGTTCCACTTTAGTTCCACTTCTTGTAGTAACAGGAATGCTCATAGTTGGGTTTGTGTGCAGAAAGGTGCATGACAGAAGGAACAGCATGAGGGAAGGCAGTGCAAAGCAGCACAGTAAGAGTGTGTTAATGGGGATGTTGGTCAAGAGGAGGAAGCATGATGCGAAAGGTGCAGGTGAAGGCAGAGGAAAAATTGATTGCACCCAGGCTTTAGTGGGATACAGGCAAATGGAAAGAGATAGAGCTAAGAGGAGCAAAAGGAGCAGACTTGTGCATGCCTTGAAACATGATTTCTAATCTGCTCAGAAGGGGACCGGAGCCAGGAAGGAGTGTGAAGAGAAGCAGGCACGGTTGGTGTAGTTGATGAATTTTGCTGTAATATTCCAGCTTGATTTAAAAGGCAGTACAAGAAACGTTATAGCAAAGTGAGGAAGGAGGAGACTGCAGCAGCCAGGCAGAGAAAATGCAGTGTGCAGTGTTTTGCAGCTGTAACAAAGTGGACTGATTGGGAAGACGTAGCAGATTCTGATGGCAAGGCTTCTCACAAGCTGTTTACATGTTAGGGAGTTGTCAGATCTGGTGAGTTTAATTTGTTCAGCAAAATGCTTACAGAGACTGAAGACAGCTTTTTTGCTATGGGTGCACTTAGTTCATTCATTAGTCATCTCTCATTTCGATTACTGTAATGGCTTCTGGCTAGACGTTGTCCTTCTGCTCTTCACTTACAATCTATTAATCTGCCACATACATAATACCTTGTCGTCTTTTCTGTTCACTTAGTTTTGCTGCCAGACTCCTTAAAACCACCTTTAAAGGACACTCTCAAGATGAAAACAAAACCACACTTCGAGTTCCTAGTCCGAAGGAAGAATTGTTTGTACTGTCTTGTAGTTATTTTATGAAAAGCATTTTAAAAGCCCATCACTCGTGTGATGTGACAGTCACCTTGGAGTTTGGCGGGATGTATATGGCAGTGAATGATCATAGTAATTCAGAAGGCTTCTGCTTCCATTATGTGGGGCTTTGCACTTATGCCAGCTGGCTACCACAAACAGAAGAGATTCCAGATTCTTTCCAGAAGGGAGGGAGTGGTGCTTGTGCATGCAGTGCATCCTCTCCTGTCTTGAACAAAGGAAGAGGGCAGGTTGCTGCTAGTGCCTTGGTATGAAGAGGAGAATAACTTTCCTTTATTTCATAGTGAGTGTACAAAGCTACTGTGGAAGAAAACAACAAAATGACAGCTTTGGTAGAGCTTGTGGTCTAAAGAGCAGCTTTGATGGCTTCCCATTTCCCATGCTGGGAGGAGAGGGCTCAGAAGGTGATGTAGGAAGCTAGGGCTACACTGTGTTACTGGTGGGGGAGAGATGCTGGCTGTCTCAAGGTTAGAAGTGAACCTGAGAGTCTGACAGTTGTGGACCATCAATGGTGAGTTATTATGAGAGTAAAGGAAAATGGGTATTGAAGGGAAGGATTTTCAGCTCAAAAGAGAGAAGTGGATTGGGTTAACAGGTGGTAGCAATCACCTTGGAATCCAGTGATGGATTTCTTTCCGTCTTTGTCATTTGTGCATGTGACTGTCCTTTACTTAGATGAATGTTACTTGTATCCTGAAGGATGGATGGTAAGAGAAGGGAGTTTCTCTTCTAATAGGAAGGATACAAGAGCTTATTTGATTAGGGATTTGCAAATTGAGTGTGATTGCAAATTATTGGAGATAATGAGAATAACAGTTTACATATTAATACCAAAATTAATATTTTTTTTTAATGTACATGTTAATTCCAAAGTGAATAAGAAATACAGTAAGCAGGAAAGACCCATGAAAATTACAAACTAGGAGCCCTGAGAGTGCTTTCCAGTGGTTTACTGTGTGGCAACGGAGGAACCATGCTGGATGTAACCTGTGTGAGCAGTGAGAACTCGCAGCTCCATGTATATCTGTGAAACAGATAAATGCTCCATGTCTCAGCAAATCAGCCCTGAGGTTGTAGCTCTGCAACTTGCCAGGCTCCAGCAGTCTGCACAACAGTTGGCTTTTGACCTCTATCAAAAAACATCATTACTTTCCAAAACAGTTTCAGAGCTTGGAGATAGTGGTCCTGCAGTGATTGTGGAAATACAGATCTTTTTCTGTTGTTCAGTAGTTGGCCTCAACTATAAATGAGCTTGTTATCTTTACAGTATATTCCTGAGGCCTTGTCTGTATGTCAGAACGGTTACAACTGGGAACTAATTGTATAAATCTATTCCTAGCTCGTAGGATAGCCAGGGAATATGGTTAAAATACTTTGAGATGTGAGAATATTTTTCAAAGTATTCTAAACTGTTCACTCCTATTACTGGAGGAGGCAGATGTGAGCTGAATTCATGTGTAACATAGCAATTGTTCTGCTTGGTGTCTGTGTCCCATGTCGCAGGCCTATGCTTCTACAGAGAGCAGCCTTTGTCGGTGGCTGTGTGGAATATATCTTGTATGGCATGAGAAGCCTCAGCAAT